AGGATGATGAATGGCCTCTTTCATCCGAGGAAAGAAGAAATGGGCCCTCGGGCAATAAAGAGGAATAAAAAGGATGATGAATGGCCTCTTTCATCCGAGGAAAGAAGAAATGGGCCGTCGGGCAATAAAGAGGAATAAAGAGGATGATGAATGGCCAGGAGAAATTAATTCAAGGAAATCACATTATTGATGATTTTTTTTTTTTGGCCAATTGTTTGCTGAATGATTTTTTTTTTTTTCATTTTTTGACCAATGGTCTGCTGAATAATTATTAAGCCAATCAAACAAGTCGCTCAATAATTTTATGACTATACATATCAAGGAGGGTTCATAACCCAAATTAAAATGTTTTTTGTCCTTTTCTGACCAATGGTCTGCTGAATGATTGCTAAGCCAATCAAACAGGAGGCTGAATAATTGTATAAGTGCCAACTTGAGCTTACTTTGTGAGGGAATCAACTCAGTTGATGTTTGGTTGTGAGGATAAGTTAAACATTTGTTTGCCGCACGTTTCTTTGTTTTAGGTTGAGGGAGTAATTGAAAGTGAGTCATCCCACTTTGAATTATTAAAGATTATTTAACTTGGTGTTGTTATAGATTGCTTATTCTTGATTGATTTGGAGAGTAAAGAAAATTATCAGAGACTAGGAATGGTGACCCTTTAGAATTGTCAAAGATGGTTGGTTAAATGCTAATTTTAGTCCCATAACTTTAAAGTTTTACATAATTTTTATCTTTCTACTTTTTTATGTAATTTTTTGGTTTTTTAACTATAAAAAATGTGTTTTTTAAGTCTTTCGATCAATTAATTCATTAAGTCTATTTGAATTTACATATTTTTAATCAATTAACTTTTAATATATGCATATTTTTCATATCTCAACTCAAAATTAAAGAATTAAAAATTTGCATATTTAGATAAATTTAATAGATTAACTAATGAAATGACTAAAAAATGCATTTTTCATAGTTTAAGAATCAAAAAAGTGTATAAAAAAATTGAGGGATAAAAATTGTGTAAATCCTTAAAGTTGACGGATCAAAATTAACATTTAACCAAGATAGTTTATTGAATTCGCATATAGTGTTGAGCATATTCGGCCTATGGGGCCTGCACGCACCAAGGGATTTTGATCATTCACCTTTACGCTTGATCGAGGAAAACAAATAAGTCTAACATGGGGTGTAAGCTAGGATCCAAGAGGAGGCCAGACTGCACCACTTTCACTTTAAATCCGTTGAACACTTCATCAATGATCTCTCCACCAAAATGGTCTCTGAC